TCTTTTCAGCCCTTCCAGCCCAGACCCGCGGGCTTGAAGCCCCGAAGCCGCCCAGCGCCCCTCCGAGCGTCGCGGGGAAGCCCGGGGATGAAGCCAGGAGGCCTCGGAGCCGCGGGCCAGCAGGCAGGACGGAGCCCGGGGAAGGTCCACAGCAAGAGGTTAGGCGCCGGGACCAGTTCCCGCTGACCCGGAGCAGAGCCATCCAGGAGTGCCGGAGCCCCGTGCCGCCCCCCGGCGCCGATCCCCCCGAGACCAGGACGAGAGCCCCGCCAGGTCGGAAGCGGGAGCCCCCGCCGCAGGCCGTGCGCTTCCTGCCCTGGGCCACGCCGGGCCAGGAAGGCGCTGCTGTGCCCCAGACCTTGGAAAAGAACAGGGTGGGGCCTGAAGCCGAGAAGAGGCTGCGCAGAGGGCCAGAGGAGGACGGTCCTTGGGGGCCCTGGGACCGCCGTGGGGCCCGCAGCCAGGGCAGAGGTCGCCGGGCCCGGCCCACCTCACCTGAGCTCGGTAAGGCCTCAGGAAGAGTAGAGAAGGTGCTGAGACCTGGTCTGGGAAGAGGCTAGGCAGTAGGGAGGGTGTGGCTTCCCCCGGGGAGGTGTGGAAGCAGGTTGAATTTGAGTGAAGGATTGTGAAGGTCCCTTGTTCTAGAACCTGCCTGCTAGTAAGGCACAGTGTGAGTGTGCTTTGATGGAGGCTGGATGGAGCAGAGGTGTGAGCAGAGACCCAGTGCCCAGTGCCTACCATAAGCCCCCTGGGTCTAGTGGCCTACTGGGCTGTTGGGTCTATGACCTAACGCTGGGGAGAGGTACTGATGGAAACCTAAGGAGCCCCTCTACACCCCACCCATCTGTGGGGGAAGAGACCGAAGTCCATCTCAATAAATAATTGGTCAGGTACCTGTTACAGGCAAGCTTTGGGCCAGCCAACTCTCAACACTGACCTTCCCATCCCGGCACCATCCTGTGACCCCTTATGGCTACTAAGAGCTGACCCAGCCTCCCTTCTAGCCTCCCCTCTCCCATCCTTGAGTCCCTGCATGGCTGAGCTGACTGGTCACATGCTAGCCTGTGTCTCTCAGTCTTCCTGTGGGTGGTGACCGATAGGCCGAATGCCCCTGCCCCTAACTCTTCTTATCCTGAACATCAACTTGGGGCCACTCCTGGAGTAAGACAGAGGAAGCCATTTTTGACTCACTCCCACCCCTGCTGGCTCCCCCAGGCCAAATACCTCTACCCACTGCTCCCAGGACGCCCTGTCAGTGTCCCATTTATTGCACTTACCACCCAGTATTTTTATTTTCATCACATTATTTTTCATTTTAGTATTACTGCCTCAAAATCTTTAGAGATGATTGAGCACCTGTTCATCATCCTGCTAGTCACATTTTTTGCATACCCACAGCCATGTCTCAGGCATTGCATTAACTAGGCATTTAGAGATGTTACTTGATTTTAATCTGTATGCCAGCTCTGCAAGACATTGGGTGTTATTTATCAGCTCCATCTAACAGATAAAACTGGGGCGCAGAGAGATTATCCAATTTGCCCAAGGTTCTGTAGCTAGAAAATAGCATAATTGAGATCCTCACTGCTCTTTTGGCTTCCAGACTGTGCTTTATCTAGCTTATAAAATGTCAGACTTAGAAAATACCCAGAGAGAGCCATGACAGTGGAGTTTTCTGATCTCCTTGTGTGTACAAGCTTCCTGTAAGCAGAGACTGTATCTTTTTCCTGTTGTATGCCTGGTATCCGTACAGAGTAAGCAGTAAGTGCAGTATTACTGCTTGGTGAATGGACACAGTCAAAGCTGATCTTCATGAGGCCTCTCAGATGGCTGCCAGAAGCACCTGCCGCTCCCTCTTTTGAATCCAGTGGCATCACTAATTTGACAGTGCATCATGTATTGCCCTTTGACACTATTATTGTTTAAAGCTTGCATACCATTGGCTTGTCCTCTGTTTGGAAGCTTGTAACGTGCCCCCTGAAAGCACCTTGCATGGGGCGTGATCTACCACCCCTCATGACCACTGTGTAGAGACATACACAGCACAGTCCCTGTCTTCCTCCAGAAACCAACACTCTAACTGTGGCTGAAACTGAGGAGCAGCCAAACTATCATAGATTCCCAGCCACTCTGTCCTGCCTAAGAACACTCTTCTGTCTTCCTTTTTTCCCTGTCTCAGGATATTCAGGGGAGACACCCTTCACTCCCCAAGCCTTGCCTTTTAGAAGCCCCTCTCTTGGGTTTGCCCCCTCTCCCCGTGCTTCATGCCCACAGGGACCATTTCCCTTACCCTGTCACCTGTGTCTCCAACAGAGTCTTCGGATGACTCCTATGTGTCTGCTGGAGAAGAGCCCCTAGAGGCCCCCGTGTTTGAGATCCCCCTGCAGAATGCGGTGGTGGCCCCAGGGGTGGACGTGCTGCTCAAGTGTATCATCACTGCCAACCCCCCACCCCAAGGTAAGCTCCAGGCCTGGAGAAGATTGAGACAGAGAGGGGGAGGTTCCTCCCTCCCTGCCCCCACCCCAGTCCTTGGAGGAGAGGGTAGGGAAAGAAGGGAGATCATTTGCTTCCAGAGGCTGTCTGGACTCCTTTGTGTGTGTTAGGGAGCTTTCCCAGAATTCCTTGCGAGAGGAGAGGGCAGACTGGGCTTTTGTGATTGAGGGGGAGTCCTCGGGATTCCCTAGGGTGGGGAGAGGAGTGCTACAAGCTCTGTGCCAGGTAGGGGGAGATTTGCCCCAGTGAGCCCTGTGGGCCATGGCAACCTGGTCACCCCGCTGCTTCCCCACAGTGTCCTGGCAGAAGGATGGGTCCTCGTTGCGCAGTGATGGCCGCCTTCTTATCCGGGCTGAAGGCGAGCGTCACACCCTGCTGCTCCGGGAGGCCCGGGCGGCTGACGCCGGGAGCTATACAGCTACTGCCACCAACGAGCTGGGCCAGGCCAGCTGTGCTGCCACGCTGGCTGTGAAACCCGGTAGGGACCCCGTGGGCCCCAGGGCTGGGTGAGGTGAGCAGCGACCCTTCCCGCTCCCAGCCTGGAGCTTGGGCTCTCAACCAGTGTGCACAGTGTGTTCTGGTGTGTTGGCTGCTCTGGGCGAAGCATTTTAAATGTCCCTGGCCTCAGGGCAGGGGCCAAATTCCCAAGGGACACATGAGGCTGGCCAACTCATGAAGTCATTGAAATTTCTCTTTAGATATCCATCCTTCTGTGACATTTCCCTCAACAGGATCCTGTGGGGAAAACAAATTATCCTGCAGTCTTAGAGAAGAAGAATCTCCCAGCTCAAAGGGCTTAAAAGCCTTTAGGAGTCTTCTGAGGTCATTTCTTCTCTAGAACAGCACCCTCTTAAACCCAGTAAAAAGATGATTTAAAGGGCCACAACTCTCCTCTGCTTCCTTGCTCCTTCTGCTGTACCCAGAGCCCTAAAGAAGGTGCAGCTGAGAGCACCTCTCAGGAGATGGCAGTGGCCAAGGCTGCCTTGTTTTCTATTTTTATGAAAATCCTCTCTTGGTGTCATACTACTCTCTTTGGGTTTAAGCCCAGTTTCTTTCTGATTCAGGGCTGGACTGGGCTGGTGTCAGTGTCCATGGCCAGTTTAAGTCATTCAGGTTGCTGGGCTGGACAAAGTACAGATGCTGAGCCAATGGTGGTATGGGGAGGTGAGGCTGGGTAAGGGGGTGTTAACAGAAGGCAAAGTCGCAGACTCAAACCTCAAGGATATCACCATTGGGTAAGCAGCCTAGATCAAACGACCTGGGTTGGATGCAAGGCAGATGAACCTGGTGCCTAGAACAGCCAAGTGATCAGCCAGTGTTGTGGGATGCTGGACTGAGAGCCCTCAGAGCCCCAAAGGAGCCTGGGAATTAGACCGGCAGAGGGAGGGGCTGGGCATGCCTGGAGGGGAACAGCACACAGTGTTCTGTCCCTTTCTTTCACTCAGTGCTGCAGGAGACAAGATAACAGAGCTCTTTTTGCTGTGGTCCTGGGGCCTCGGTACCTTCATGATTAGGGAGTTCTTGGTGGTATCTGACCTGAGTTCCCATCCTGCATTAGATCCTTTCAGTTGCACTTGTCTGACTTTGCAGACCTACAAGTCGTCATCTTCTTTAGCTTACGTATCCCTCCCAGGAGCCCGGGTATTAGGGTTTCTCCTTCTCTTTGCCCCTCCCGCCATACTGAATCATACCCGTCCCTCCGCTGCATGCTTCCGTCCTTCCATCACCTCTGGGATCTGGCTTCTGACTCAGCTCCCAGCTCCCCTTAGGGGGCCCAGATCTGACCCCAGGACTTGAGTCAATACCTGGCTTGGTCTAAGATTTCGCAGGGGAGTTGCCGGGGAGGGGATTGCCCCAGTACTGGCTCAGGGCCATTTGGGAGCCTTTTAAGGTTGGGAAGGAGGCTTGGGGCAAGGCAGTTGTCAGCATTTGACTGGGAGTTCTATGTTCACCATGCTGAACCTCCCTGCACTTCAGTTTCCTCATTTGTAAACCAGAGATAATTATACCATCCTCACGATGAAAGCAAATGTGTGAACGAGCTTTATGAACTGTAAAGCTGTAGACAAATGTTAGTTGTTAGCGTTATTAAGGGGTGATGTTGTGCACAGGAGTGTAGGCTTCCACGGGGCTCCAGGGAAGCTGCTTTTTCCTTTTCTACCCTTTCTTCAGACTGTCTGTGCCTTGGGAACTCCTCCCCTGCCCTTGCCAGGCCCTCAGCCCCTCCATATTTCCCAGCCCCTGGGTCCTCAGCCCATCACATCATCTCTGTGCCTCCTCCACCCTGGGGAGCCAGAAAGCTTCATCCCATGAGTCAGTTTCAGCAGGCATTGCAGCCAGAGGACAGCTCCTGTAAGTCAAGCTGGCTGGAGGGCCCCAGGGCTTGAGGAGCAGGCACGTGAGTCTAGACTCAGCCGGCATGGAGGAAGCAGATTTTCTTACCCTAGAAGGCACTGTTTGGTCCAGAGCAGCTGGACAGGGGCCAATGGACCCAGAGAGCAGTAGGAGTGGACAGAACCAGTGGGTGGTACAGACATTTGGCAAGGGAGGGGTCCCAGGGCTGGAGTCTGTAGGGAGTGAGTGGGTGGGGCAACAGAAGGGTGTCTGGCAGTGTGGTGTGAGTAGAGGGGGAGTGGGTTGAGGGAGGGAGTGTGTAGCGTCTTGTGGGAAGAGGCCTCGTGGAACCACCCACCTTTTTCGCTCCTCATGACCCCCTTGGTAACCAGGGCTGGCTGCCCCATGCCCTTTTGGGATGCCCTGCCAACAGAGCATGCTTTTGAGAGCCCACAGATCTCAATTTCTGGTTGGGAACCCTGGGGCAACTAGGGATGTAGTTTCCCAGGTTTGGCAGAGCAGGGTCTGTCCTCACTCCCCCTGGCAGCCCCACCCCAGCTCTGGGTCCCTCCCATTCCACCCTACTCCACTGAATGACTCCAGAGACCACAGTTACACTCCCGGAAGGTGTGTATGTTTTGGGGCAGGTGGCTGGGGAGTGTGAGAAGTGTGCTTAACCGAAGTTAAGCATTCTTGATGCTGCCCACATCCATCACACAAGCATTTGAGTAGCACCTGGTTGCCAAGTGCTACATCTCTCTAAACAGTTTCTTGTGTTTGGAGAGTGCCAGATAACTTTTTTTCCCAAACCCTTTCACATCTCTTCCCTTACTTGAGCTACATCGCACCATATACACTCCTTGCAGAGGAACATCTCAGGTAGTAGTATTTCCATTTTACAGATGGAAAGATGAATATGCGGCAAGTAGAGTGACAGAGCTCACACAAGGCCAGCAGCCTTTAGTGAGCATCCATAATCTACCTAAGAATGTTAGAAGCAACAGGTGATTTCAGATGATGGAAATACTCACCCATGAAGCAAATAAACTTAGTTCTGATGGCAGGTAAAAATAACATGACTAGTTAGCATTTACTGCAGGCTTTGTGTGTACCAGGCCCTGTATTGTTTGTGTTATCACATTGAACCCCCGCCCCCAGGGAGGTAGCTTCTATTATCATGCCCACGTTACAGATGAGGAAACCGAGACTTGGAAAGCTTTGGCAAATTGCTCTAGAGCATCACTGATCAGTAGAACGTTCTGTGATGATAGAATTCTTATACACTGTCTAACAGGGTAACCACTGGCTACAGATGCATGTGAAATGCAGCTAGTATGACTGAGTGGCTGAATTTTTCATTTTATTTCATTTTAGTTAACGTGCATTGAAATAGTCTCAGGCAGCTAGTGGCTACCCTGTTGGGTGCTCAGCTCTAGGAGCAGAGGCCACTGGGAGACTTCATGATTTGAAGCCCTGTCCCTGGGTCTCCCAAGCCTATAGTTCTAACCACTGCACTGTCCTGACCCCTTTCCTTCTGCTCTGAAGAGGATCAGGGTTAGGGTGGAATTGTGCTCATGAACTCCCAGCGTGGGGAGGTGGGGGCAGACTGGCGATGCCCTCTGTGGGTAGGTCAGTCTGGGCATTTTCTCTCCTTCCTCTCTTGACACCCCACCCCCACCATGGCTGTGGTCCTGCTTTGTTTCCCTGCGTGCCTGGTGCGTGCACACTCAGCTCACCCCCACAGGCTCTGGTCAGGAGGAAGGGGGATGGGGGCTTCACGTACCCGGGCCTCCGTCCTGCTGCCTTCAGTCCTCCCCTCAAGCGCAGATCTCATATATTTGAGCCCAGGGTTCTAGCATTTTCCAGCCAAGACCTTGGCCTTTGTACTTCCCCTTAGCTGGCTGCTGCATCCTCATCTACAAAGCAAGGATTGTTGTAACTCCTAGGCTACTTCCTTAGTAAGATTTGTGAGGCTCTATGCGGCTGGTGATTTAGCTAAGGACATTTGGGCCGGAGGATATAGCTTATCAAAGCCCACCCATAGGACCAACACCATCATAACAGAAGAGAGGTGGTTTATTGAAGGTCATGAATATAAAAGGAATGGAGGGAAAAAAATTACAGCATCAGCATCCCCCACTTCTCCTCGCCCTGGTCTTGGCTGACTGCTGCAGAATTACAGGTTTTCCCTTGGGAAGGCAGTGACTGCCCATGGAAAGGATCTCGGAATGCCACACGTCCCTGTTGTCCATCTTTGATTGGGGTTTGGACAGCATCTAAGAAAGCAGCACGGTCCCTTGAGGTAACTCAGCCCTCCCTCCCCCTTCCTGTCTACCAGAAGCAGGTCAGCCCCGATGGGTGCCCTCCCCAGGCTGCTACCTCAGAATGGGGGTCGTCATGCACAGCTGTCAGAAGAATGGGGACCTAATCTACTGTAGGTCCCAATTTACCTAAACATGGAGCAACCCCAAATAACACTTCCATGGCTAGGCCAGGCCGACTGTGTGAAAGTCCTTCTGCTTCTATGTCCATTTTAAACCAAGACGGAAACTTTCTCAACACAATCCTGCTCCGTTTCCAAAGGGAGATACTCATAACTGCACCTGCGGGAATTCCCAGCTATAGGCCAGCCTATGCCCTCTTTTCCCTTACTTCTGTGGCGGGACTACACAGCAAATGAGTAAAGAAATCTCTTTAGAGGACCTTCTGAGACAGTGCATGTGGGAAGAGGGCTGTGACTGGCCCAGCCATGTAGCTGTGCTGTTAACCTCCAGCACGTTCCTCCTTCCTCAGAAACCTCCAGGAGCGCCACTTTGCCTTTGGAGTGAAGGCCGCGCTCCTGAAGCTGGTCTCCACCATCTGGACCTGCAGATGACCCAAGGGTTGACCTGCTCTAATCCTTCTTTACCCAGTCCTACCCAGACAGACGGTTAAGCTGCAGTTCTCTGCACACACTTTCTGCCTTAGAGCATTTGCTCAAGCGGTTTCCTCTGCCAGGAATGCTTTTTCCTGCTTAAACCAAACTCTTAATTCTAATATCCCTGCCCTCAGTTCTCCCTTCTTCCCTGAGCCAAAAGCAACATCCTGCTCTCTCTGCTCCGGTGACTTTTATCTGCCCCTCCCTTGCCACCTTATTCCTGCTTGCTGTTATAATCGTGTATCTGGCTTGATGCTCCAACCAGCCAGAAGGTTCCTGAGGACAGCACCATGCCTTCACTACTCTCAGCCCTCCCAGCCATACCTGGAGGCCCTCCTGGACAGTCAGGGGCTGTGTGGACCACAGGGGCTATGTGCAAGGTGGCAGTTGTGGGTAGAGATTCCTGTGAATTTCCAAGCCCCTGAAACAACCTGAGGCACTTGCAGAGGCTGGGTGGTACCTGCATCTGCAAAAGGTGATGAGGATTTGCCTGAGAGTGGAGGTTGGGGTGGCAGAGGAGGCTACAGAGTAGTGGTCCTCCAAGTGTGTTCTCCAGACCAGGAGTGCCAGCGTCACCTTAGAAATGTGTTAAAGATGTGTATTATTGACCCCAGCCAGACCTACTGGATCAGAAACTGTGGGTGGGGCCCAGTAAGCTGTGGTTTAAGGAGCCCTTCATGTGATTCTCATGCAAGGTGGACTCTGAGCACCACTGCCTTGAGTCAGGGACCTTGCACCTGGTGGAAGGCCAGGTGGTGCAGTGGGAAGCACGTGGGCCAGACCTCCAAGGCTCAGAGCCTGGCCTTGAGATTTAGTGGCTGAGTGAGATGGGACTTAGTGATACCACCTCTTTGGGTTGTCCTTCTCCCGCGAGGGTCATGGCGGTCTGTAGACTTTCGTGTACATAAGAATTACCTGAGGGGCTTTTTTTTTTTAATGCAGTTTCCCAACCCCTGTTTCAGGAAATCTAATTTTTCAGGTCAGAGTAAGGCCCAGGAATTTATAGTTTAAATAGTTCCCTGATGTGAGTGGTTCAAGGATCACTCTGAGAAGCCCTGATATAGAGGGCCCTGTGTGACGCCTTTCATGTAGGTGGCTGTGACTGTATCTATCCTGGAAACAGCTCAGGGGAACACACTGGTCTGAAGGGTGAGGGCTTCCTGACTTATGAGCTCCCCCATGCCATTCTTTTCATTGAATGAGTCTGACCTAGAAGCAGTGTTGAAAGGCCAGACAAAGGCACAGAGTGTAGGGGCAATACTTCCATATGTGCATCCTAGATTTGGCTGCCCTCTCCCTGCCTGGTGTAACTGTGTTTCTTACAGTGAGAGCCAGGTGTGTGGGTAGAGCAGGGCTGGGGTATAGGGACTGACTACAAAGATGGTTTTGGCAGTGGGGCCAGTGAAAAGTTAGGTGTCACCCGAGCCTGGTGTGGAGCCCCAGAGGCTCTGGGAGCTGATAACAGAGATCCTAGAGTACCCTCCTTGGCCATGCATTCTGGAGGTACAGAGGGGTGGGGGGCCACTGCATTGTCTTGAAGAGGCCTCGTTCTGTCCCCTCTGGAGCCTAAGTGTCCTGCCTAGGTTGCTCCAACATCCCCCCTTTCTAAGGGACTTGAGGGCCCTCAGAATCACTTGGTCACTGCGTGCCCCCAGCATGCTATTTCCCTAGCCACCACCAGGGGTCTCAGGCTCCCTGCAAACCCAGCCCATTAAATCTCTGCAGTCCCTGCCTGGGCCCTTGAGCTGCCTCAGTGCTGTCCAACCTGGAGGTGACCCCAGAGGGTCACTAGACTCCATGGAGGGAAGGGGGCACCTGCCTCCAGGGGCCATGCTTGTGATCTCAGCATTAGCTAGTGACTGAACCCCGAGCAGTTTCTCGCCAGGTACCGTCCTGACTTTTCTCTCCACCCCCACCTCAGGACAGCCAACCTGAATGGTGGGCCCCCCTCCTTCTTCACTGGCAATGCTGGGAAACACAGGTCATAGCTTGGGAATGTGGCCCTGAGCAGGGGTGATGGGAGGCGGGAGGAAGCCATGTGACCTCTCCTCAGTGGCTCCCCTACTCTGCTGCTCTGTCTCCAAGCCCCTTCCCCACACTAGTCCAGATGGGTGCTAGTTGTGAGGGATCACTGCGGGAAGCAGCCTCCGTCTTCCTGACCGTTGGCCCTGGTGGGGCTGACAGGCTGAGGGATCGTTGCCAACAGGTGCCCTGGGAGAGCCTGTAGGAGGAGGGTTGGGTGCAGGCCCAGTACCCCAGGGTGACTTGGGGCAAACCTACCATGGCAGGTTTGGGGAGGCAGAGGTGGGATTCTGGGCCCCTGAAGTTTAGAGGGGCACCTCTGGGAAGAAGACTGAAGATCCTGATAGCTCTCTGATTCTCAGCACCAAGGAAGACTGGGTATGCCCTGGCTCTGTAGTGTTTGAGGCTTGTTGGTGGATTCCAGTGTCAGGAATCTTGGCAGTTTGGTCAGGAAAAGGGGCATCCTAGGGGCCATTTGCCATCAGTACTTCCTCTGGTGGACACGTCAAAACAAATGGGTCAGTGCAAGCGTCTTGGCTGCTGCAGGGCACTGCGCCCTCCATCTTCCTCTGGAGACTGAGGCCCCCACCCTTTGAGTCGAGGCGCCGCTGAGGGGGCTTTGCATTTGTCAGGGTCCAGAAGTTGTAAGGAGAGAAAAGGCAGATCCCGCTGCTTGGGAATGAGCAGGGTGGCTAAATACAGCCGCTGCGCTCGGCCCCTCCCTGCTCCTCCCCCTCCACTCCAGGGCCTGGGCTGCTTGTGGTCTCAGCAGGCACCACCTTCCCAGCCAGCTGCCTGCCTGCCACCCAGCCTGTCCCGGTCTGGCCAGTCCCCACCTCCTCCTTCCCCCTCCTCAGGCTCCTTCCCCTCCCCCAGGACCGCGTGCAGAGCCTGGGCAGGGTCAGCAGAGTGAGTGGGGCTGGGCAGGCTGGGCTCCTGCTCCCTGGGGAGCTGGGCAGGGGTGGGGGGTGGGCAGTGGGCAGGCAGCAGGAGGGCCTGGTGCCAGGACAGAGACTTCGCGACAAGCGCAGCCTGGGGTCTGTGGTCAGAGTCTTGGGGTGAGTTGGGGTGCAGCCCCATGGGGGAGGCAGGGCCAAAGGGGCTTGAGGTGGGGGACCAGGAGGAGGGGCCAGGGGGCTGTGGCAGATTCATGTCTGTATTTGGCAGTCGGATGGGAGCCAGCTCAGTGAGGCTGGGCCCCTGGCCAGTTGCAGGGGAGGGCATCAGGGCCCTGGGGACACCTCTCCCCCAAAGCAAGACTGGTGCCCCCTCCCGTTCCCAGGCTGAGCCGCCTTCTCTGTGGATGACTGTAACTCTGCTTTCCCAGCCCCTGAGAGTTTTGGGGTCCATGCTCTAGGGTTGAGGCCAACAGGTGCCCCTGGGGTATCTGACGCAGGAAGCTGAGAAGGGAGTGGGGGAAGGGCTGGTTGGACAGTGCCGTCTCACTGGCCCTGGCACTGAGATCAGGATGGGGCTTGTCTGAGGTGTGTGTGTTCCTCTGCACCAGGCCCGGCTCACCCAAGAAACGGGTGTCCTGGTTGTGTCACTCTGGGGTCCAGAGACATGAACCACCTGCATTAGGAGCCTACACTTCCATGCCAGGAATGTGGGTGCCCTGCTCCAGTGGAATTCCAACACTCCTATAAGGCCCAGATCCGCTCCCCTGCTTCCTGAATCCTTTGCCCCGGGCCATTCCCTGTAGTTCCCCCACTCAGGAGGACCAGCAGAGTCAGGGTTGGGAGAGTCTGGCAGAGCAGAACTCAGGGGCTGAGGGACAAGAAACACCTGGGGAACGTCACACAGCAAGCAGGAAGTGAAGTCAGAGCAGGGCTGGTGAGGGGGGCTGCCTCAGCTCGTGGGCTCTGTGACATTTCAGACCTTATCAGGACCTTGATCCTGGGCTGATCGATCAAGCTCTCTCAGTCTCTCTGCCCCCTTCTGCCCCTGGCATCTCTCTCTATGCCACTGCCTCTCCTCTGTTTCTCCTCCAGGTGGATCCACATCCCCTTTCAGCAGCCCCATCACCTCTGATGAGGAGTACCTGAGCCCCCCAGAGGAGTTCCCGGAGCCCGGGGAGACCTGGCCCCGAGCCCCCACCATGAAGCTCAGTCCCGGCCAGAACCGCCGTTCCTCTGACACTGGCTCCAAGGCACCCCCAACCTTCAAGGTCAGATCCCTGAGGCCAGCCCCTAGCCTCTTGGGTGCCCCTATTCTTTTGTGTGGCCTCTTGTTCTTGGGGCCATCCCGGGTCTCAGTCAGACTGGTGTGGAAGTGGCCCCTCTCCCAGAACCCCCTGCCCACAGGAGCCAAAGCTAGGCCCTGTCTCCCCTGACACTTTGGGGTCCCCCTTCAGGTATCACTTATGGACCAGTCAGTAAGAGAAGGCCAAGATGTCACCATGAGCATCCGTGTGCAGGGCGAGCCCAAGCCGGTGGTCTCCTGGTGAGTAGCAGCCACTGACCACCATCTGCCAGTGTCACTCACTCCAGGCTGCACCTTGCGAAGCCTGGCTTTGGGTGGAGGGCAGTGGACCCTTTGCGGACCAACCCGTGATCTGCCCGGGGGGCCTCATCCTAGGTATGGTGGTGCTGCTTCCCCCAACATGCCCCGCCCCTTGCCTGAGGTCCAGGCTGTTTCAGGGCTTCCCCTCTAGGGAGGGGTTTGGGGAACTAATGGTTTCCTGCCTGTCCACTTGGGATGAATGGCTAGGAGTCATCTTACTCCTGGAGAAGCCTGGCCCCCTACCCCCTGTCCCCACCACCATCAGTTGACAATAGGGTGATTTTTGAGGCCTGCTCTTTGCCCAGCCCTGTGCTAGGCCCACACATAATTTGTTTCTGAGCTGCCAGAGCCCAGAGTTAAACTCAGGCCTCAGCTGTAGTGTTTCATTCCAAATGCCTGAACTTCGATTATTCAGTTTGCTTAGCTTTCTATTGGTTTGGGTTCTATTTTTCACTTTTAACTGATTCTTTTTGATATTGTAAATTATTTCATATTTCTTTCGGGAAGTGGGAGAGCTATCTGTCCATTAAAATAAATAACATGACACAGAATCTAAAAATTAGTAAGAGCTGAATAGCTTGGTGCTACTCTAAGTGTGGTTAAATTCCAAGAAAGGAGAGACCCAGGTGGGCAGAGGTAGTCTGGAAGTTCCTGGAGGGGATGATATGACAGAGTCAGGGGGAAAACTTAGCCCTAACCCAGGTGCCCAGGGTCAGCGGGACAGATCTGGAAAGTGGACAGACGATGTGGGGAGAGGGAAGGCCTGATTGGCGCTGCAGCCCCACTCCCCAGTGCATGCAGGTCAGGCCCCTGGGCCTGGGACTGAGTTCTTGCTTCTCTGACAGGCTGAGAAACCGTCAGCCCGTGCGCCCAGACCAGCGGCGCTTCGCCGAGGAGGCAGAGGGTGGGCTGTGCCGGCTTCGGATTCTGGCTGCTGAGCGGGGCGACGCTGGCTTCTACACTTGCAAAGCAGTTAACGAGTATGGCGCTCGGCAGTGCGAGGCGCGCCTGGAGGTCAGAGGTGAGCACCTCACACTCTCCACGAACTCCCCCGCATCCTGGCCCCGACCTCATCCCTGCCCACTTGCCAACTTTCACACAACCTTAGTTCTAGGATGCCAGAACCAAAGGGACCTTTGAGGTCCCCAGGTTTAGCTGCTTACGCTGTAGTTGAATAAACTAAGGCCCAGAGAGGGGAGGTGATTTGCCCAAGGCCACACAGCATATTGTTCAGTGCTCGGCTTGCTATTTGGTACTGCTTTCCCTATGCTGAGTCACACCTGCCTCAGTGCCAGCCAGAGACCCTGCTTCCCGTCGCCGGCCGTCCTCTCCCCACACTCTTCTGAGCTTTTGTCACCTTGTCCTTGACAGGACCCTTACTTACACCCACTTCCGCTCTTCTCTTGTCTCCTCTACCCATCCCATTGCTGTGCAGAAGGTATTATGGTTGGGGGTGGCAGTGGGGAGAGTCTGATAGCTGGACCCGTCCGGAGGGGCCCTTGGAGTGACTTGAGCATGGAGCATCGCAGGGACCCCAGGGGTGCCAGGGTAAACAGAGCTGGGAAGTGTGGAGAGGGCCGGGCCCTCAGAGTCGGGGCAACCTTCCAGGCAGCGGGGATGACAGGCCCTAGCCAGGCTGTCCCCAGGGGCTAGTGATTTTCCTCTTGAGGGCAGGCCATTTGCCTGACCTTCCACTCACTCTTCTCATGGGCAGGTCAGAGTCAGGAACCCCTCCTCAGCTCTGCACTCAGCCACCACCCCTTCCTTCCTGGAAGAGGCCAGCTATGAGGATACTCTCAGCCCCCTGTTGGAGCCCAGACCCTGAGAGTCATGGTCACCTACCAGGGCCCCACCTGCCTCAGTTCCCCTGTCCTGTGCCTCCAGTTCCTGGGGTTGCTACTTCCTCCGTCTCTGGATTCTTCAGCTCTCAGCCCCCCAACGCAGCCCCATTCCCTGGCCTGCTCCTTCCCCTCAGGGTCTGGCTCTGCCTTGCTTCTCTGTATTAACCCACGTCTCAGTGCTTCTCTCTTTTTGGGATTTCTCCCAACATCCCCCAGGCTTTGGGGTGCTCCTGACTCCTGGGAATGCCTCTCGCTTGGTTATCCAGGGCCTCTAGCTGCCCAGGAACCCTGGAGACCTAGTCTCTGGCTGGCTGCAGTCCCTCCCCATCCACCCCAGGGCTGACCTCAGGGGAGCTGAAAGTGGCAGTGCCGCCCTGGCCATTTTAGAGGGGCCCTAGCCAGGTCTGCGTGCCCGTGCGTGCCTGTGCGTGCCTGTGTGTGTGCGTGTGCGTGTGCGTGTGTGTGTGCTGCACTAACCTGCCGCTTGCTGACTGAGGTTTTTGTCTGTACACAGGCGAGTGAGCTCAGGGGGCCGCCTGCGCTCCCCGCCGCTACCCTCCGAGCCGCGCCCCTGTCTCAGGCACCTCTCGGACCTCGCTGTGTTTCACTGCCTCCTGCCCACAGACCCTGCCGGCCCGGACCCTGTCCCAGCCTCCCCTCCCCTCCCTACCCATTCAGCGTCCTGGGATAGCCTATGAGACCCCATGGACCCCTCACTCCCCAAGTGGACATATGGCTGGGCAGGCTGGGAGCCCCCACACGGACTGAGTGCCAGAAAGGGGCAGCCATGAGGGGTATCAAAACCAACCCCCAGTCTCTCCCCAAAGGGGAGCACCCAGCGAGTGCATGTGCTACTGCTTCTACAGGCCCTGTCTGTCTTTCCGTTTGTCTGTCTGTGTGTCTGTGACAGTCAGGGAAGGATGCCTCTGAGCTGATGTGGGGTGAGGCAGAGGGGGAGAGGACAGGGCATGGCATCTGTAGGACAGAGGGGCCCAGAGGGACAGGGGGCTGTAGACAGGGGGCTCCTGGTGGGGGCAGATCACTGATCATTCCAGAAACGGGTTTCAAGTGGCACAACACTTTATTTCACAAGAGACCAAAAGCCAGAGGCCTCTGGGCCCTGTGCTGAGGAGGCCTGGCTGAATCCTGGCCCTGGGCAGGCTTAGGGCCCGTTTGGGGCTCCCTTGTTCACTGTCAGAGTTGGGGATGCTCTGTCTGGGAATGAGGGTGTTAGCCAGGCTTGGTACAGGAGTAGGGGCCGGCTGCAGTGGGTGTGGAAATACTCGGAAATACCTGTTTCTTAGTTCAAATAAAGTCCAGTTTGTACCCAGCTGGTGTGCTGTGTTTTTTTTTCCGCCGCCGTCTCTGCCCTTATGTGGCCTTCTCAGTATTCATGCCCTTGATTCCCTCCCGCTTCCTCTGAGTTCACCCTTTTGGCCCATGTGGGATTGCCATCCTGAAGCCAGGCCTGGGAGCTCCTTGCTGTCTTGGCCTGCTGGGTGGGCGGGCTTTCCCTGTCTCCAAAGGAACAAAATGCATCTCTCTTCTCTGTGTCTGTCTGTCTCTCTGTGTGTGTGTGTGTGTGTTTCCCTTGCCCCATGTTTCTCTGCTCCATGCGTGCCCTCTGTGGCCGCTTCCCCACCCCCAGCACACCCTGAAAGCCGGTCCCTGGCCGTGCTGGCCCCCCTGCAGGACGTGGACGTGGGGGCCGGGGAGATGGCGCTGTTTGAGTGCCTGGTGGCGGGTCCTGCCGACGTGGAGGTAGACTGGCTGTGCCGAGGCCGCCTGCTGCAGCCTGCGCTACTCAAATGCAAGATGCATTTCGATGGCCGGAAATGCAAGCTGCTCCTCACCTCTGTGCATGAGGACGACAGTGGCGTCTACACCTGCAAGCTCAGCACGGCCAAAGGTAACTGCCCACTGGGGCCCGAGGGCTGCCATGGCGCCCAGGTACTGGAGGGAGGGGAGTGGAGGTGGAGGAGCTGGGTGCAGAATAAGACGCCGAGAAAACGGGGCTCTGCCTCCTGGGAGAAGAGCAGTGGGGTGGGAGATAGTGCAGCACACTTGCTTGGATAACACCAGCGTTTGAAGTAGCACCTGACTCAGCATGTTCTGTATGAATGTTCGCTGTTTTTCCTGTCGGAGCCAGTTACTGAAGTATACCAGCCACACCTGGACTTGGGTTCCAGTTCTTGTCCTGCCACATACCAGCATGTGACTTTGGACAAGTCACTTCATCTCTCTGAGCTTCAGACTATTCATCTATAAAAAGGGATCATGATAATACCTACCTCCTAGGGGGATGGGTGGGACTAATGAGGACTAATGTATGTACAGAACAAAGCACAGACCTGGCAAAGGGTGGCAGCTAATAAATCTCCGCCATTGTCATTATTAATGACGTCTCTGACCTGGCCCCGTCCTCATTTGAAGAGCTGGGATAGTGCCTCACCCAGTTGTGGTGATGGGCACCTAAAGGTGATCCCTGTAAGCAGGAACAGTCAGGTCAGCATAAGGGGCCATTATTTCCCCCAGAAGATTCTTTGTAGGGTGGTCGAGTGGGGCAAAGGGGCATTTACTCTGGGTCTGGAGTCGGGGTGAGGGAGTGTGGGCATGACCAGGGTGGGCAGAGGAGAGTTCTAAGGGTCAGGGAAAGGGGTGTGGGGGAGGGAGTGGGCCCTAAGCTCAGCCTTAGAGCTGAGCTTGGCAGGATGAGATGAGGAGAGGAGAGTCAGGCCGGGCCCTGGACTCATGTCATATCCCCAGGCCCCGTGGCAGCCTTCCACCCACCCTTGATAACCCTCACCCTCCTGAGATGGTCCAGTCTTTAGATCTTGCCCTGCTCTGGTGCCTGGAATGTTGCTGGGCTCTGCCCAGGCTCCGGCTTCTGGCCCAGCTTCTTTTTCCTGCCCAGTATGAGAGCAGGACCCTTGAGTTGGGGTGCCTGGGGCATGGTGTTCCCCACCCCATTGCTGACCCCTCCCCACCAGATGAGCTGACCTGCAGTGCCCGGCTGACGGTGCGGCCCTCACTGGCGCCCCTGTTCACACGGCTCCTGGAGGACATGGAGGTGCTGGAGGGCCGCGCAGCCCGCTTCGACTGCAAGATCAGCGGCACCCCGCCCCCCTCTGTGACCTGGGCTCATTTTGGTATGGCTCTCCACCCTGTAGATGTTTGGGGATCCCCCCCAAGGGCCAGAGGGCGGGGTCCCCAGCTGAGGCTGCTCTGTCCTCCTGCCCCTCCCTGCCCAGGCCGCCCCGTGGAGGAGAGTGAGAACTTGCGGCTTCGGCAGGACGGGGGCCTGCACTCACTGCACATTGCCCACGTGGGCAGCGAGGACGAAGGGCTCTATGAGGTCAGCGCCACCAACAGCCACGGCCAGGCCCACTGCTCAGCCCAGCTCTATGTGGAGGAGCCGCGGACGGCGGCCACTGGCCCTAGGTACTGCCTGGGGTCCCTGGGGCTGCCAGGGGTGCTTCTGTGGTGCCCCGGCCCTGTGGTGGGAGGTGCGGCTCTGGGCCTCTGGGCAGCTGTGTACTTCTTCCAGCTCGAAGCTGGAGAAGATGCCATCCATCCCCGAGGAACCCGAGCAGGGCGAGCTGGAGCGGCTGTCCATGCCTGACTTCCTGCGGCCACTGCAGGACCTGGATGTGGGACTGGCCAAGGAGGCCATGCTGGAGTGCCAAGTGACCGGCCTGCCCTACCCCACCATCACCTGGTTCCACAATGGCCACCGCATCCAGAGCAGCGATGACCGGCGCATGACACAGTGTACGTGTCCAGGAGGGGACCCTAGGGGTGTCCCCTCCAGCACCCTTTTTGCTTGCAGTTCCCTCTCCCACCTTTGGGTCTTGCTTTGCAGTCTTCATTGTGCCTGGGAGAGGGGAGCACAGAGAGGCTATGAGGCCACTGCCTCCTTCCTTGAGCCCTTGAGCTCACACAGCACCCGTCAGCTGGGTCACCAGTCTGGGCCTTGGTGGCCTGTTAGCATTTACTGGATGGGCAGTACAGCCTGCTACTGACTGCGGGCAAGTTACAGGACCCCTCTGTGCCTCAGTTCCCTCATCTGTGGTAGGCTTGTGGTGAGAATTGAATCAGTGAATGCATGGAAAGCACTTAGGGCAGGGCCTGGCCAATAACAAGGGGTCAATAAGTGTTACTCTTACGGGTACCGCGGTTGTTGCCACCATCAGCATCCTTGTTGATAAAGCGCTGCTGCTCACACCCTCCTGGAGAAATTCTAGTGAAAAGCCCAGTGTGGGCAGTGTCTGGTATCAAATGGATGCTTGGTCCGGGGTTGGTAAAAGGCAAATAAAGAAGAAAGAGTGGGGAAAATACCTAGGAACGTATTTGGGACCATGTCCTCTCAGCCTAGGATGTTTTCTCACGGAGTATCTTAGTTCCACCCTTGAGGGAATCTGAGTCTCCTGTGAGAAGGTCTACCTCCTCCCCACCAGCAGTGCCACCCCGTGACCTGTGATGGGCTCCTCTTCTGGCTGCAGTGTGACAAAACTCACCTTTACTAAGCCCTTCCTGAGTGCCAGGCCCTGGGTGCTTGAGGCCTGACAGGGATGATCTCACCTTCCTCACCACAGACCTGTGAGGCAGGTGCTATTATCCCTGTTTCCAGATTGGGGAACTGAGGCTTATAGAGGGTCAGTGACTTGCCCAAAGGCAGACAGGAATGGTGTGACTCTGGTGTCCACCTCCTGACCAGGACGTCCCCTTTTGCCCATGCCTCACTCTCCCCTCCCATCTCCTGTGTCACCACCGTGGCTGTGACCCTCCCCTCAACCCCTTCCATGGCTGTCTTTGCTCAGCCCACAGGCTTCCTGTCTATCATTCTGCCCTGAGGCCCCGGGTGGGTGTCTGTCTCAGGATCTGAGCTGGCGTCTCTGCTTCTGTCTGTATCTGGGGTCAGTGGCAGCCCTGGGCTTCTCTTCCCGTATAAATAGTGTCAGCAGAGATAAATGAACCAGTGATTGTTCCATGCAGAGATAATCGCTAAGAGGAGGGAGGGGTGTTTGGGGATGGCCCTGATGTCAAGGAAGGAGGACAGTGCAGGTCTCTTCCCCTTCACATCCCCCCGGGGATGGCCTCCTTACCATCATGCAGGGAGCACAGGGTAGGGAGACAGCTTCAGAGTCAGAGGGAAGCAAGTTCAGGCTGTAGCATCATCATTTATTAGTGGTATGACCTTGGACAAGTCTGTTAATGTCTCTGACCTCACTGGTAAAATGAGGATAATTTTGCAGGGTTGTTGAAAGGCTTATGGAGAAAAAAATGCATGTGAAGTATCTGGCATGGTCTAGCCATAGTGCAGACAACTCTTCTTGTAATTTATAATCTAATGTACTTGGCACTTAACTGTATGCAAGGCGTCAGGTTCTGGGCTTGGCAGGACAAATCAGCTGTCTTTAAGGAGCTTGCAGAAGGCATGATACGTGCAAGAAAAAAGGAAGGACCACCCAAAGCAGTCTGGGCTGGGTGCTGGATGTCCTGGGGAGGGAGTCAGAGATGGAGGTATAGAGGGGACCAGGGGCACAGACAGGAAGCTTCCCAGGACTGCCACTCACTTGAACTGCAACTTGAAGGAAAAGGAAGCCTTAGATAAGAGAAGAACATTCCAGAAGGGAAGAATTTTGTGAGCAAAGACCTGGAGTGGGAACTCATGTGGCTTGTTCAGGGACCTGATGGCAGGTCAGGGTCAGAATGTGGAGGAATAGCAGGAGACGTGGCTCGGTGGGAGTTTGGGCCGAAGGCTTTGGATGCCACCTGATTGGCAGTAGGTGCCATTGAGGTTTCCAGATCAAGAGGTAACATGCAATGCAGACCACACTGGTGGAAGCTTTCATGGCCAGTGGCCTTGGGGATGGAGAAGAAGGCACTTGGGCACAAAGTCTTGTCAGAACTTGGACATGGAGGTCATGAACCCTGAGAGATGCGGAGATGAGGGGCAGTCAATGGGGTAGGAACCTGCAGAGGGTGAATTGGTATGGGAGGAAGATGAGAAGTCACTGAGTCTGAAGTGCTAGAGGGACAGGCAAGAGGGGCCAGGGCTGTAGGTGTGGACTTGGCAGCCCGGACCTAGAGTTTGCTGCATGATGGACACCCTTCTTGTGTCTGCTCTGCTCCTTGTAGCAAGTGGGGGTGGATGGCCAGGCCTGGGTGGCATGGACCCATCCCCCAGAGTATGCCCCTAGCTCAGGACAATGTCATTGTCCCTCCCCCCCAGACAGGGATGTCCATCGCTTAGTGTTTCCTGCTGTGGGACCTCAGCATGCCGGTGTCTACAAGAGCGTCATCGCCAACAAGCTGGGCAAAGCTGCCTGCTATGCCCACCTCTATGTCACAGGTGAGGCAGGTACCCTCCTGGTCAGGTGCATCCACAGCCCAGCCTCTGGCCTGCCCACACGCTGGGCAAGGGAGTGGCTTCCACACCAGCTCCCTTCCCCTTGGTCCCCTGGGGAGCCATCTGGCCTTGCCTCTGCCCCTATGACCATGTCCCCAGCCCCCAGCCCATTGCCCCAAAGCTTGGTGGTCCTGCGGGGCCATGGGGCCCTAAAACCCAGCAGACATTCTATGTGTGGCTTTCAGATGTGGTTCCAGGCCCCCCAGATGGTGCCCCGCAAGTGGTGGCTGTGACTGGGAGGATGATCAAACTCATGTGGAACCCCCCCAGGAGTCTGGACATGGCCATTGGTGGGTCTGGACCACACAGGGATGTGGGTAGGGATGGGGGCGTGGACAGGGCAGTCTTAGCCAAGGGAACCGAGGGTGGGCAGGAAGGGAGAGCAAGGCCCAGCAGGGCACAGGGGCATAGGGGCATACAGGTGAGGGGTGGGAATAGATGGAGCACTGGGAGCATGGCCAGGAGGGGCTTTGCTGGTCCCTTCTCCATGGTGGGTGAAGCTCCGGCTCCAGGTCAGGAGAGGAGACAAAGTGGAGGCTGCCACATTCCCTTCTCTTCTCAAAGGGAGTGGGTGCTTGGGTTGTGATCCTGGGAAACCCCTCTCCTTCCCTGGGCATCTCTTCCTGCTCTGTGCTTCTCCCTACCTCAGGTAGCAGCAAGGAATTGGGATTAAGTCAAGCTCCCCCCATGCCTGTAACTGGACCCCACACCTTACACCTCATTGGCTCTGAGCCTGGCCAGGCCTGTGGTTGGGCAGGAGCAGATGGGGGACAGGCAGAAGCAACAGGAGAAGCTGAGGCAGGTCCTCAGAGCAGAATGATGATGAGTTCCTGGTTCCCAAGTCAGCTGAATAGGGACAGAGGGCACCCCAGCAAGGCCCATCTCTAGCAGCTGCCTTCCCCCCAGACCCAGATGCCCTGACCTACACTGTGCAGCACCAGGTGCTGGGCTCGGACCAGTGGACAGCGCTGGCCTCGGGCCTGCGGGAACCCAGGTGGGCGGCCATGGGTCTGCGTAAAGGGATCCAGCACATCTTCCGGGTCCTCAGCACCACCATCAAGAGCAGCAGCAAGCCCTCGCCCCCCTCTGAGCCAGTGCAGCTGCTGGAACACGGTGAGTCGGGGGGTTCCTGTGGGGTGGAGGTGGGGGCAAGAGCTGCTAGGCCAGGGAACTGGGTGTCCATGGAGGAGATTCCAGGGCTGATTTGGACATGAAAACTACGGTGGGAATGGGATGGCTGGCTGTGACCCCTACTCGTCAGAGTGCTTCCTTCCCACTCCGGAAATAGCGCATGCAGTGGACAAGGCTGAAGCTCTAAGTCAGACCAGCTGGAGGTCCAATCCCAGCTCTGCTGCCTACTGGCTGTGTTCCCCTAGACAAGTTGCTAAACACCTCTGAACCTCAGCTTCGTCATCTGAAAAATGGAGTTTGCATGGTGATTGGGAGGGTTCAAAGAGCAGTGGGTGCTGAAGATCTGGCGTCAAACCCAGCATAAAGCCAGCCCTCCTCCTCCCAGGCCCGCCCCTGGAGGAGGCACCCGCCGTGCTGGACAAGCCAGACATCGTGTATGTGGTGGAGGGACAGCCTGCCAGTGTCACCGTCACCTTCAACCATGTGGAGGCCCAGGTCGTCTGGAGGAGGTGGGGCTCTGCCTTGCATGCCCTGTGCCTCACATGAGGCAGCCCAGCTCCAGGTGACCAGGTCTGGATCCTGCGTGACCTCCCTGTCGTGTGTCCCTTAGCTGCCGAGGGGCCCTCCTAGAGGCCCGGGCTGGTGTGTACGAACTGAGCCAGCCAGATGACGACCAGTACTGTCTTCGGATCTGCCGGGTGAGCCGCCGGGATATGGGGGCCCTTACCTGCACTGCCCGCAACCGCCACGGCACACAGGCCTGCTCAGTCACACTGGAGCTGGCAGGTGGGTGACAGCCGGCCTCCTTCCCTCTCCTCCCTCTGAGGCCCACAGCCTTCTCCTCATACCCCCAGGGATACACACCCACCTGCCAGGCCTAGGTCTCCCCTCTCAGGGGCCATTTAATGGCCACAATAATACCAGTCCTAGCCACAATAACAGTAATAGTACTAATAAAGATATTTATTGAACACCTAGTATGTGCCAGGCTCAGTGCTAATTAGCTTACATTTATCACCTCATTTAACATTTCTGTCAACCCTGGAAGATGGAGTCGGTTATTATCCCCATTTTACAGATGGGGAAACCGAGGCTCAGAGATTGTGCTAAGTAATAGGCCTAAGGTCACATAACCTAATCAGTCAGGAGCTGGGATTCAAGGCTAGGTGCCCTACTCCAAAGCCAGACTATGCTGTTAGCTCCTGTGTTAAACACAACAGAAAGTAGAACCTCAAGTATAACAAGCCGGGAGAGGGTCCAAGTCAACTTAAAAAAGAAAAAGGCCCAAGTGAGCTCATCTTATCACCAGACTCTCAGCTCTAGGGATCCTGGCTGTTGCCTTTTTGCATAAGCCTCTTTGGCGAGCCTCCCCATCTTTGCAGTGAGGACCTTTTAATAATTTCTCCTTTCAAGATACAGTCTCTCAGGCCGTAGCATGCATTAAGTAGTAATTGTCTTGTTTTCTGGTTTGTTAATTAACTCTAGACATATGTAACTGCCACTCAGAACTTCGGATCAGCATGAGCTAAACAGTGTTACCTGCTGAGTAGATAAGGTTCCAACCAAATGCAAAGGAAGTGACATTTTAGTTAACACAGGCCATCGTATCATGGGGTAAATGTACATTTTCTGGTGCTTTAAAAAAAGTCATTGAAGTTGGCTTAAAACCTTCTGATCCTTTGACCTTCATAGACTGACCCCTGCCACTGCCCCCACCCACACCCACTCCCCACCCCCAGCAGACTAGGACCAGATTCCTAGAGAGCAGGGCAGGCAGCTTTAAACTAGAAGAGAGGTGGCAGTAGAGTGTGTGAGGAGGAGATAACGGGGACCCTACTGGCCCCTCTGTGGAGGGTGGGTAGGGAGGGGCTGCAGGTGATCTGGGCCTCTGGTTTCCCTTTTATGTGTCTTCCCCTTTGCCTAGCTTCCCCCTACCCCACCCCAGCACTTCCTACTCAGCCATCACTTTGCTCCTTGACAGTACCACCTCCAGGACTCATCTTTCTTCCCAGATATAGGAGGAGACTCAAGGTTTGGGGAGGCCCTGGCCACCAAGAGCCCTGCAGCGGGCCTGGCTGGGACAGTAACTGAGGGAAACCCTGACCCAGCTGGCCAGGGCTAGAGCAGGCCTGGGGCTTGGATCTGCACCCCCTCCTGCTGTGCCCCACCCCCTCTCCCACAGGCAGGTAGAATGGCCTCTTTCCTCCACACCTGCCCCACTGATGCATCTTCCCTGCTCCCAGGATGACCTTCCCCTTTATCTGCATAAAAGTTGAGCTATGTGCTTGGACATGAGGTGCTCCCTGCCCAGCTTTTCCCTGAGGGCCTATCTCTCTCACTCCCCTTAAAGCCAGGATCCTCAAACATGCTGGGGGAGGGCACCAGAACGTCACAGGCTTCTCCGAAAAGCACAAGCACGTTGGAATATGTATTTAATTCCATCATGAGAATTAGAAACTGCCTTACCAGGAAATACCACAAATGCATGATATGTGTAGAGAATAAAATCAGTCGCATGTGGGAGAACTAAACCGAGAATCGGTACCCGGTTATTCATCTTGCCAGCTCCCAGATCGTAGAAGTCCCCTTAAATATTTAAATAAGATTCAGGGAGAAAACTTCAAGATAGAGGCAATGCCATCCGTGAACTTGATTCAGGGTCACAGACTGAGCCACCTGCAAGGCCCAGGACAGGTAAAGTCAGAGAAGCCCGCAGTCGGACTGTGCAGAAGGGCAGCCACCCACAGGGGGCAGTGTCCGGCCACTCCTCACCAGCGCATTAATGCAGTGAGGGAGGCAGCTCAGGACAGCCAGTCCTGATTTTCCAAGAGAGGCAGGAAATCCAGATTTCTTTTGTGTGTAAAAATCTCCTAATTTCGAAGCTGGCAAAAATACTGAGATCCAAACAAAGCAAGCCTGCATTCCCTGGCTTGGGTTTTCTGAGATTTGGAGAACATCACATTTGGATTTGTAGAGAGAGCACTTGGTCCAGGCAAGGAACTCTCATGTTCCCGGGGCCGAGTCTGAGAGTCCCAGGGTGGGATGCTGGGGCTCTGGGAGGTGGGGGGTTGTCTGGTGTTATGGCTGAGCCAGTTGCTTAGGGAGGGTTTAGAGAAGGACTGAGGAGGCAGGCCCTTGTGACCCCAACGTTCTGTCCCCCTCCCTTCCCCACCCTAAATCCTGTGTGTTTCAGAGGCCCCTCGATTTGAGTCCATCATGGAGGACGTGGAGGTAGGGGCTGGAGAAACTGCTCGCTTTGCTGTGGTGGTTGAGGGGAAACCACTGCCGGACATCATGTGGTACAAGGTCAGAGGCTGATGGAGTCCTAGCTTGGGGCTGGCCAAGAGCCTAGGGGGAAGGGAGGAGGGATTTCCTGGGGCTGTGGGAGGGATCAGGGGAGCCAGGACAGAGAATAGCAAAGGAGCTACCAGAGGTGTGGTTAGGAGGAGGAAGTGGCACCCAGAGGTGCTGGTGACACTGGCAAGGGTTTGAGGAACCAGAGGACCATGGCAGGGTGGGAAGAGGGGTTGCAGAACTATTCATGAGAAATAAGGGTGGAACCTATTCTGGGTCTGAGCAAGGCCCCTAGGGTGGAGATAACTGGGACCTGCGGTAGGGGTGAGACTGGGTCTCTGGCATGGAGCTCCAGCTGAGTCCCAGGTGGAGGTGAAGCCAGGCCTGGACTGGAGGTGACAGCCACCTCTGCAGGATGAGGTGCTGCTGACAGAGAGCAACCACGTGAGCTTCGTGTATGAGGAGAATGAGTGCTCCCTGGTGGTGCTCAGCGCGGGGGCCCAGGACGGAGGTGTCTACACCTGCACTGCCCGAAACCTGGCTGGTGAAGTCTCCTGCAAAGCAGAGTTGGCTGTGCACTCAGGTGGGCTGGAGTTCAAGGCAAAGTGCTCACCCAGGAATCTGATGTGAGCTCCCAACCTGGCCCTTCACTCCTGACCACCACATCCTCCAGCCCCAGCACCGCTGCCTCGGGCCCCCAACATTCTTGCTTCTCTTCTGTGTCTTCTGTCTGCCCTGCCTGGGCCAGTCTATGCTCTCGTTCCTTCCTGCCCTCCCCACCTAACACCAGGCATCTCTTTCTCAGCTCAGACAGCTATGGAGGTGGAGGGGGTCGGGGAAGACGAGGAGCAGCGAGGAAGGAGGCTCAGCGACTTCTATGACATCCACCAGGAGATTGGCAGGTGTGGGGCTGGGGCAGGTGCTGTGTCCGGGGGCTGAGAGAGGCTGCATCTAAGTCTCAGCAGTGTCTGATCCCCATCCTCTCCCTGTGTCCTCACCCAGGGGTGCTTTCTCCTACCTGCGGCGTGTGGTGGAGCGTAGCTCTGGCCTGGAGTTTGCAGCCAAGTTCATCCCCAGTCAGGCCAAGCCAAAGGCATCAGCGTGGCGGGAGGCCCGGCTGCTGGCCCGACTCCAGCATGACTGCGTCCTCTACTTCCATGAGGCCTTCGAGAGGCGCCGGGGACTGGTCATTGTCACTGAGCTGTATCCTAGGGCAGGCTGGGCGGGTGGGGGACACACGGCCTGAATGACTGATCATTGTAACAGCCAATTAGCAACATGACTTACACTTTACAAAGTGGTCCCATTGACAATTGGGAGTTCTGAAGATGTCTTATAAATTCTTTAGAATGGAGTCTGGAGGCATATGTGTGAAAACCAACATTTTTTTATCTTAAATTTACATAGCACTTAATGTGTGCCTGGCAGTGTTCTAGGAGTTTCAAAAATATCGAGGTAAGGGGGCTGGGTGGTTGGCTTTGTCACTGCCCCTAGCAGGGTGACCATGTCCTATATATACCAGCCTCCCAGTCTGCACTGTTAGGACCCAAACCTCAGCAAAATGACAAATTATTATGTGTCATAGACCTTCTGGGTCATTCTCAAATAGGGGCAAAAAGTTCTATAAACAGTCAACAAAACACTGCTCCACCTTGATCCTTCTAGATACTTCACAGGGTGGGCGAGAGGAGTGTTATCCCTATTTGACACCACAGGGAACCTAGATTCAGAGAGGTTATATGACTTGCCTGAGATCCCACAGCAAGTGAGAGTCCAAGCAGGGCTGTCCCAGATGTCAGGGGGAAGAAGGAAGATGCAGTTGCTAACTGGTATCAGATGTGCTTTAAGGGGAAGGAGAAGCCTGTGCTGAGCTAGGACCCAACCTGAGCTCTGTGGGTAGAGGGTGCTGCCTAAGGCGGGCCCAGCTGTTGGCACTGGTCACTGTTCTCCTTGATCTGGGACATAGCTGCACGGAGGAGCTGCTCGAGCGAATGGCCAGGAAAGCCACCGTGTGTGAGTCTGAGGTGAGGGCAGTGGGTGGCAGGGGCCTGATTGCGCACCAGCATTCACCCACCTGAGCTCCGAGACCCAAGGGGTGCCTCCTGGGCATGCCGTCTGTGCCCACAAATAGGCGGGGGTTGTGGTGGAGAGGAGTACTGTTAGGCAGGCGGCAGAGTCCCCTTCCCCCATCAGAGCAGACCCGCACCCTGGGACTTGTACTCGGTAAATCTCAGCAGACCTACCCTGGCCTCTAACTCTGTTGTTTCCCAATCTTCCTTACGTAAGTATTCCTCACACATTTCTCCAGAAGGAGCTCCACCTAGACTCTGTTCAGTCTCAGTGCTGTCCTGCATTGTAGGGCTGCACAAGTTGTATACTGCACAATTCTACTGATTATCATGTAAATGACTCCCTCTTATAATTCTGCTGCACGCAACCTGTGCAGCTGTACGTGGAAGCCCTGAATCTCAGCAACCCCAAACCTATGTTTCAGCCCGCTCCACCAGCCACCTGAAGGCCACTTCCCAGGCGTGGCCTGACTTTTTACCATAATCCTGCTGGTGATCAAACATAATACCCCCCGATTCTGGGCCTCCTGTTTCCACAGATCCGGGCCTACATGCGGCAGGTGCTAGACGGAATATGTTACTTGCACGAGAACCATGTGCTGCACCTCGATGTCAAGGTGAGATGCAGGTGGGAAGTGGGGAGCAGGCAGAACCTGTGGGAGCCAGGCAGCGGGGTGTCCTCCCCTCTTCACTCAGTCCCCACGTCTTGCCTTGTGCCCCACAGCCTGAGAACCTGCTGGTATGGGATGGTGTTGAGGGTGAAGAGCAGGTGAGGATCTGTGACTTCGGGAATGCTCAGGAGCTGATTCCAGGAGAGCCGCAGTACTGCCAGTACGGCACACCTGAATTTGTGGCACCTGAGATTGTCAACCAGACCCCTGTATCCGGAGTCACTGACATCTGGTATTATGGACATCTGGGACTGCTGGGGTGGGCCAGAGCAGCTTCCCTCAGTGCCATGCTGAGGACTCGTTTGGTGGCAGAGAACAGCTTTACTCTGATTCCTTCTCAGACAGTTGGCTGGTGGCATTGCTCACGGGGGCCTCCTGCCCTTGTTACTACCTGCCCCTCATCTGTCAGGGCTGACCCGATCACTCAAGGCCTCAGCCCTGATAGTCCTTGGCTCCTCTTCCCCCCCACCCCCAGGTGCTAGGCCTCCCTGCCTGAAGCCACCTTGCCTCCCCCAGTGAGGCAGACATGGCCTTTTGGTCCCTAGACTCCTCTGGGCTCCCTAGGCTGGCCCTGCCATGACCCTTGAGTCCTCCAGGCATGTTGGGACCTCTGGGTTCAGGATCCTCCCCAAAGGAGGCATCCCTGTGCCCATTTGTGCATGGCAGTGTTCACAAGGAGGATGCTTCCTTAGTAGATCAGCAGTAGCAAGAGAACTGCTCACTTCCGGTGGGAGGTGGGCTGTCCTCTTACCCATCTACTCTCCTTTCTTTTCTACCAGGCCCGTGGGTGTTGTTGCCTTCCTCTGGTAAGGACCCCTCTGCACTCAGGACCCCTGTCTTCTAACAGTCTCCAAGCAGGTCCACTGCTAACATTTGCAGAACCTGGGGCAAGAGAGCAGCTGGGGGCCTGCAGCCCACCCCTTTCTCCTCCATACTGTGGCTCCTTCCTGCACTGGAAGGGGCCTCATGTGCATGAATGTGGACATCCAGACTGTGTGTCCAAGCTCTGTCCACCACCACGCCCCTCCATAAGAGCGGGCACACTGGCAGCGTGCTTGGGAGGCAGGACAGGGAGAGGCCAGTGCAGGCTCAGTGCCATTTAGGCAGGGAACTAGTCCAGAACACAGACTAGGAGGGGGAGGCCCTGGCTCCTGGGGCATATCCCATTGGCACAGACTCCTCACCTCAGGGAAAGGGCATGGCTGGAGGAGGGATGGAACAGGTCCTCTAGAGTATGGGCTTAGGAGAAGGACCTGGTTGCCCAGGATTCAAGGCATTACTGCCTCCCCGCCCATTCCTGGGTTTGGATAGGGGCAGGGCAGGCAAGAATCTGCAAGATTCTGCCCAGGTTCACCCCGCCTCTGCCTGCCCCACAGCTCTGGTGCCTCCATCTGTCCCTGGCCCTATGCTCCCCTGGCATCCACCTTTGTCTCTGCCCCAGCCCCAGGACCCTGCCCCCTCTCACCCAGCCCTCTCCACCCCTACAGTCTGACGGGAATCTCCCCATTTGTTGGGGAAAACGATCGGACGACGCTGATGAACATCCGAAACTACAACGTGGCCTTCGAGGAGACCACATTCCTGAGCCTGAGCAGGGAGGCCCGAGGCTTCCTCATCAAAGTGCTGGTACAGGACCGCCTGTGAGTACGAGGCCCCAAGGAGCCTCCCCCTTGCAGGGTCCCCTCATGCCACCCCTCAAATCCTGCCCAAGCCTCTGTCCATAGGGAGTTAACCGCCCAACTCCTTAGAGGCCCTGTTTTCCCAAACATTTATTGAATGAATGAATGAATGAATGAATGAATGAAAAATCCCTTCTTAATCCTCATTCCTTTACAGGAGACCTACCGCAGAGGAGACCCTAGAACATCCGTGGTTTAAAGTGAGTCTTGCGGAGGGTAATAGCTCAGTGGTAGAGCACCTGCTTAACATGCACAAGGTCTGGGTTCAATCCCCAGTACCTCCATTAAAAAAAAGATTAAAGTGAGTCTTGTCTCACAATGTGGTGGTAGAAGAGGTGGAAGGAGAGAGAACTTTATCAACAGCTCCAATTATTGAGTCCCTACTGTGTACAGTAACCATGATAATGCATTTTATTTACATATGATCTGTTAGTCTCACAATGGCTCTGTAAAGGAAGGTATTATTACTTCCATTTTGCTGATAAGGAAACTGAGGCTCAGCTTGGGGTATCATGGACTCCAAGGCACAGGTCTGGACCTCCCCATCCTAGGGATCCTCATCAGGGTTCTCCCTGTCTCTTGAGACCAGCCCCAGTCCTCCGCACTCCTGTGGCCTTCCTCCATCCTGCCCTGGTCCCACATACTGTGGTTGGTGGGTGGCCTGGCTGGCTTGTCCTCTTGGTTTTGAGCTCTGTGTGGGCAGAGCTCTCACTTATTCATCTTCAAACCCCAGCACCACAGGGCACAGTGCCAGGCAGAGGGAGGGGTTCAGCAAATGAGCCAGAAAGAGTAACTGAATAAATCATCCAATGAGCATGGTGCTGGGTCAACAGAAGGCTGAGGTCATTCTGGTATCTGTCCCTGGAGGAGGAGCCTGATCTCTCAGCTCAGAAATAAGTTCTGAAAAGAGTAACCTGGGTGGGCGCTGAGCAGCACCTCCAAAGGCTGGCCCACCAGACTCCATATGTCTGGGATGCTGGCTCTAGATGGAGACAAATGGTGACTTGGGGAGCAGGGTTCAAGCCAGGGGTCTCCCAGGGCAGCCAGTAGACCAGGACAGGGCCTTGAGCTCTGGTATAAGCTCTAGAGCCCACCCCTGGAGCCACTGGTTTCCTATTTCTCCACTTAGGTTCAGGGCATTTGTCCATACATGGGTACCTTGATCGTGGGAGTTGCTATGACAGATCCGAGGGGAAAGGGAGCCCCAGGAACCCAGACTCAATGCTGCTTGGTCTACTGTCCCCTCCCGTGGGCATTGTCTCTCCATTGCCAAACTTGGAGGGTTAGGGTGGACAGAGGACTTTCCCTCAGGCACTCTTTCCTGGTTTGCAGACACAGGCAAAGGGCGCAGAGGTGAGCACGGATCACCTAAAGCTATTCCTCTCCCGGCGGAGGTGGCAGGTGAGTTTGGCAGGGCCCTGCCTCTGTGCCTTCATCTTCTCCCCCTGCAGCCTTCTCTCTCTAACACTGCTTTTTCTATCAGGTGCCCTCACTCCTGCTCATCCATCTTCATGCACTTTTTACTCTCTCAACTCCCACGTCCCTCCTGTCCCCTGACTCTGCCTGCCTCGGGCTATCTCCCCTGGGGCTGAGGTGGGCCTGAGTGGGTCAGTTCGGCTCCAGGGGTCCCTCAGGTCTGACTCTAGTACCCTGTCTCCAGCGCTCCCAGATCAGCTACAAGTGCCACCTGGTGCTGCGCCCCATTCCTGAACTGCTGCGGGCACCCCCAGAGCGGGTGTGGGTGGCTGTGCCCAGAAGACCACCCCCCAGTGGAGGGCTGTCATCCTCCTCCGATTCTGAAGAGGAAGAGCTGGAGGAGCTGCCCTCAGTGCCCCGGCCACTGCAGCCTGAGTTCTCGGGTTCCCGGGTGTCCCTCACTGACATTCCCACTGAGGATGAGGCCCTGGGGACCCCAGAGGCTGGAGCTGCCACCCCCATGGACTGGCAGGAGCAAGGAAAGGCCCCGTCTCAGGATCAGGAGACCCCCAGCCCTCAGGCCCTCCCCTCCTCAGGCCAGGAGCCCCCGTCTGGGCCCAGCCCCCGGCGGGGAGAGCTCCGGAGGGGCAGCTCAGCTGAGAGCGCCCTGCCCCGGGCCGGGTTGAGGGAGCCGGGCCGGGGCCTGCACAAGGCAGCGTCTGTTGAGCTGCCGCAGCGCCGAAGCCCCAGCCCGGGGGCCACCCGCCTGACCCGAGGAGGCCTGAGCGAGGGCGAGTATGCCCAGAGGCTGCAGGCCTTGCGCCAGCGGTTGCTGCGGGGCGGCCCTGAGGATGGTAAGGTTAGCGGCCTCAGAGGCCCCCTGCTGGAGAGCCTTGGGGGCCGTGCCCGGGATCCCCGGCTGGCGCGGGCAGCCTCTAGCGAGGCGGCACCCCGCCACCAGCATCCACCTGAGACACGAGGCCTGCAGAAAAGCAGCAGCTTCTCGCAGGGTGAGGCGGAGCCCCGGGGCCGGCATCGCCGAGCTGGGGCGCCCCTTGAGATCCCCGTGGCCAGGCTTGGGGCCCGCAGGCTGCAGGAGTCTCCCTCCTTGTCTGCCCTCAGTGAGGCCCAGCCACCTAGCCCTGTGCGGCCCAGCGCCCCCAAACCCAGTGCCCCCAAGTCTTCAGAGCCTCCTGCCACCACACCCAGTGATGCCCAGCCCTCAGCACCCCAGCCTGCCCGAGAGAAGGCCCTAGAATCCATGTCAGCACCAGTCCCAGCCCCCAAACCTACACAGCCCCCCATAGCTCTACAAACCCCAGTGCCCCCCCTCACACCTTATGCCCAGATCATGCAGTCGCTCCAGCTGTCGGGCCACGCGCAAGGGCCCCCGCAGGGCCCTGTCGCACCTCCATCGGAGCCTAAGCCCCACCCGGCTGTGTTCGCCAGGGTGGCCTCCCCACCTCCGGGAGCCTCCAAGAAGCGTGTGCCTTCAGCTGGGGCTCCCGCAGTGCCAGCCGAGAAAGCCCGTGTCCCCACGGTGCCCCGCAGGCCAGGGAGCAGTCTCAGCAGCAGCATCGAGAACCTGGAGTCGGAAGCCGTGTTCGAGGCCAAGTTCAAGCGCAGCCGTGAGTCGCCCCTGTCTCGGGGGCTGCGGCTGCTGAGCCGCTCGCGCTCCGAGGAGCGCGGCCCCTTCCGCGGGGCGGAGGAGGAGGACGGCATGTACCGGCCGAGCCCCGCGGGAAC